CATCCAGCAACAAAACTTATTAAACAGACTGGAACCTGGATTTAATTTGTAATGTATTCATATATAAATTGTTCCTGATGCATAATTATAGCAGGACACATCAACCAGCAGAAGGTGTATTTGCACACTAAATATTTCTTTACACATTTTTCTATTTTTTCTTCTCTCAGTCTGTCTGCCTGTCTGTTTGTCTGGCCGGCCACAGCCTTAGTTAGTTTGTAGTTCAGCTTCTGTAAACAGCCATAAATGTTTATCATTTTCAGCTACCATTTGTATTCCTAACTGAGGGCTGGGATATAAAACCATAAATAATAGTACTATATAGCTGCAATGACATGATATATGTTTTGATATGAATACTCGCACACATACACAAACAGAACAGAGTCCATATATTTTACATTCATGAACTTTATTTGGCAGTGTGGTCTGGTGAAAAATACACAGGATTCAAATTTGAGAGGAGACAATAAGAACACATTCTCAAGAAACATTTTCAACCAACAGGAAATAGAATATTAAACTCGTTTTCATTCACTTATTGGTTAAATTTCAGATAGAACGATGGAGCAGCTGCTGTAGTTCGTGCTGCTGTAGTAGTTGTAGCAGCAGAAGGAAACAGCAGGTGTGTTTAAGGACACAAGATGTTACTGTTTACTTTCAAAGCTCTTCATGATCTGTCTTCCAACCAAATCTACATTAAAGCACCGTATGCACCAGTACACTCTTTGAAATCCTCACCCAGACGACGTCTGTCTGTTTCAGGGGCCTGAAAACTAAATGAAGCAGAGCGACTGAAGTCAGAACCCTGAGTTTCTGGCACAATCTGTCTGAAGAAATCAGGTCACCTGAGTTGGATTAAGTGCCTTCTTTAAACATAGCCTCCTGATTTTACATGAAATTTGATTTCCTTTAAATTGTCCTTTATTTCTCTCGAAATTGTTTTTACTTTTTCCAATACTGTGTTGATTTTCATCCACCAAATTGTGTGTTTTATTTTTAAATCTGGTGATTTTATGACTCGTTTGTTTAATTTTTCTGCCTTGTGAAGCACTTTGGAATTTGAAAAGTGCTCTATAACTAACCTAATCCAGCCAGGCCAATTAAAAACTGGATTAGTTGTTGTATTTGTGTTGCAGACAAGGTGGTAGCAGCTGTAGTTGTAGTCGTAGTGGTCGCCTTGAAGGAAAACAGAAACATTTGTTGTCAAAGACACAGTAGAGGATGCTCTATTTTACAGTAACTGATGTTCATGTGTGGTTTGATTGTAGAGGATGGAAAAGGAACTCACCTCATCAGAATCAGAATCAGAGCGGGCAACTCGTTCGTGAACCCCATCCTTCTGTAGAAAATCCCCAAGTTACATGTTGAATATCACCTGTAATGTGCTTTCTAACTATTCATTGATATTATATTACTGTATGTATTC